TTTTTTTTTGCCGAGGGTAGGCGCGGTTGGAACCGTCCCTGATTCGCATATCAGTAGGCAACCAGGTCTTCTGCACAGACCATTTTATATGCATTTGAAGCCTCTTCTGATCGTGAATACAATTCAGCGCTTATTAGGAGATGGGATTCATCACCAATGAACATCCGCTCACCAGAATAAAGCAATGGAAAGCATGAGTGCATTGAGCAGGAATGAATCCTACAGAGAAGTGTAGGTGCCGAAGACTCTTCCGTATCGTTCCGTTCCGTTCCGTTCCATTCCGTTATCTCCTATCAGGCGAATAAGTTATTTACAACTCAGAGGGGGTATGGGAAACACAGTCAATCGAAACAAGCCTGCATTCAATTCCGTTCGAAAATATTTTGAGACGAGAGTCTATTCATAGCTTCCATAGCCATTGGAATACTGATTAATCACAAGAATGACGCCGAATTCCAACGAACATTTCTGATTTAAGCTGTGTTTTCGCAATGAATTCTAATCGTTCCCGAACTGTGAGATCGTCAACTACCACGAAATATCCTTTACCCCTTCGAATTAGGGTTATTTCCTTGATTTAGTATTGAGTTCTCTTTCATCCACAACCCTCCCAACGTTTTTAACTACAAATCGAACTTCTGCTAAGTATTGTGCGATTCGAGCCAAACGTATTACCCTCCCATCACTCACAAGAAGAATAGCCTCTACAGCTTGATCCCAGGAACTTCTTTACGGAATCTAGCCATACCGTATTCAGATGTTGAACTAGTCCCTGAATCTACCTGAATTCTATCTATCGTAGTTAGTTTTGATTTACGCTCATCATTTTGCCAGTGTGAATCATTGATAGAATCACGTTTGACTCAACATCCGACACTGCGTGCTTACAACTATGCGACATTTGCCCTTTTATTGTGCAGCTACTGGTGACTATTGATGTTTTCTTCCGTTATCAGTCCACTAGTACTTCCTCTGAACTGTTTTTGAGCTCCGGACTTTATGAAAGTCCATCAAAACCGCTCCCAATATACAGCTTCAATGTGAAGTGCTCCGATGGATGATTCAGAAGTGCCGTCAAATCCACGCTCCCCAATCAGAATCCCAGCCATTCGAAAAAATCGCCGGGAGCCCGGTCCGAAGTACAATGCGATTTTTTCGTTGCTAACATAGTAGATAAGACCGACGTGACAATCAGTAAACAGTCATTATCGCGATAGCTGACAGCCGGCTGGCCCTGTGTTGATCAGGATGCTTGAACTGCACCCACATCATTTTCCATTCAGGACCTGCCAAAAGGGCCTTTCATCATTTATCACCCTCATACCTGTACATATGTGGAGGCGACTCGGGGCTTCATCTCGTGATGGATGTTTTATTGATTGTTTAAAGAAGCTGATATCGATTAAACTCCTCTCGAGACACCGTTGTTATGACGGTGACGTAGATCTGTTGTATTGAATAATATAAACATATCGTGTGATTCATCAATTTCCTATCCTAATTTAATGGCATTTCGTTCTTGATCATTTCTTCAAGCTGGAACTGATATACGAGAAAGCAAGGGATCCTTCTAGATAAATTTACCGAAACAGGCTTCATCCGAGCTCAGGAAAAAGTCTGAACGGATACCGTCAGATTCTTTATAAACATTTTACGATCTTCCATCGGATTCTTTTTCTTTTCCTTCATTTTTCGCCTCAATCATCCCCTACGCGATGATTTTCACGATAAGATTCTTCAAATGCACCCGTCTGCCCATCAATTTTCTGGAATGCGCCACGCATCCGGCTTTCATTCAAGAGCCTGATGGCATTTAGGTGCATACGTGGCCCGATTCGAAAGGGCAGTTTATGGTTTTGATATGCTCTGATGGAAAGATAAACTTTTCGTAGAGTCTTGAAAGCTTCATTGTGCTGAAGGCAACTTGTCCAGGATATGAGTTGAGTTCAAGGTTAAGTACGGTAGCGGTACTACTTACTGATGCTCTATTCCTTTTATGGTCATGCTATTGGAGTAATTTGAAGAATGGGCCTTCGTTGCTCCTGAAGGAATTAATTCTGAAGCACTATGGTAACTTGGGGGAAGTAGGAGGAATCTGCAACTTTTTGAATTGTTTTTGGAATATTTGAGCTTGGTAATCGCTGATGAGCAAAGATGACCAGTAGTTATGAATTCAAAGCGTCGAGTGGGGGTGTTGCCGTGCCAGACTCCGTTACTGATAACCGTGTTATCGAATGGAACCGCAGTCTCTCCAGGCACATCCAGCAGCAGTGCCTGAGAATTGTATCTCTCCTTTGAATAGTTACGTTCAATAGTCTTGTCGAAATAACTCGAATGCCTGAGGTCCTATTCTCTGAGGTTGGTAGCACCATTTTTCCAAGACGCATCTGAGCCAAATAGCGTGATTCCTTGCTTGTTGCCTAGTCATATATTGCCGAATGATTCCTCAGGAGACCGCTTACCTAGTTTCGGGGCCTCCTGACTCTCAAATCAGTCTAATTTGCGAATATGGCCCAGTCAGGATACATCCTTACTTTCCTCATGAGGGAAGAAAGTTCAATCGCTCTCAACCAGAAGATCTCCCAATAAGGTCCCTACGTTGAGTTCAGATGATTCTCATATATCCACAGGACAGTGAGTTTCATGCTTGTTGGCTAAGTTCCAAGTGTAGGTGGATCAGTTCAATCTCTGGATGAATTTGGGTAGTTCCCTTCCGTGTGCTCTCGAATAGTTCTTTTACAGAATGCGGACGTGAAATTAAATCTTTTTTCCTTGGAAATCGATTATTCTATTTATACGTACAAGCCTATTGTTAAAGGTGGGAAAAATGAAAAGCGCTGTTCGACATCTGCCATATAAATTATCATTGCGCTCTTATTTTCAGAATAAAATTGAAGGAAATTTTTGTTCATCGTTTAAATCGCCAAGGAA